CCCCCCCCCCCCCCCCCCCCCCCCCCCCCCCCCCATTGACCGGACGAGGGCACATGAATCGCCTTTCAGCCGCAGTCGAGTCTGAAAAGAGATGCAGGGTGTCTTGTTTGGAGGATGCTGACACCAGCCTAGTATCTGGACGGGAGGGGGGGGGGGGTTGTGGCACATCAGGGGGAATAATTTCCTCTTTTTTACCATTCATCTCATTTGAATACTGTCCTCTTTCCAAATTCCCCAGCTGCTGCCGCAAGAACTTTATCAGTATCGCCGATAAACTTTTTACCGAAACAACTTGCACTTCTTTCCCATTTGTGCTGACAGATGTTTTTCTTTTTGTTTCCTTGAGAAATCCGTTCCTGAGACGTAACGACGACGGAGCCTCTCTCCGAGCCGCGAGAACCTGAAGCGCTGCTCAGCCCGCTCCTAGTGAGACCAGATGCGGTTGCTTACAAAGGAGACTTTCATGCAGGCAAGGTAGCAGGAAGACAGAGCAGCCTCTGTCGGGGGATTAGCCACAGATAGCTAATCTTGTGCTGGCTCAGGGTGTCAATGGAGAGCAGCAGAGCAGCTGGGAGAAGAATAGAGGGGATTTGCCTGGAGATCACCGGGACTGTAATTAACAGGCTTGGCATTGATCAATTACAACACAGGTGAAGCACAAATAATGTCCTTAGGTAATTCAGTGCATTTCATTTTCAACTCTCTGATTGCATTAGTAGTTGCCTATTTACATAATTGCAATTCAATACAGGGCCTTCTAACAGTTCTGCGTTTAAGCATATTTATGTACTAAAAAATCTGGAATGTTTTTTTTTTTTCCTGTCATGTTCAAACACTGTTTAGAGTTGGTAGCTATATTAGCAGAGCTGCCTGTGTAGCTCATTCTAAAAGCGTCACATCCTAAGCTGGAGCTTGGGTGAAGTCAGGTAGATACCAGCTCTGACACGTCCCACACCCATGGAGCCAAACCATAATCACAGATTTTCACTGGTGCTTGGGTAGGTTAACGAGGAGAGCTTCCAACATCCAGAATCAGGGAGGGCAGCGGGGCAATCGCTCATCTGCAAGTGGAGGCTGATAGGAGAGTGTGTAGTTATTTACGATCCTGGGGGTGCAGTCTACAGTGGTACAGACACCAACAGATGCAAATGCAGCCAGAGTCGTGGAGTTTGGGGGGGGCACAGAAGGTTAAACAGGCCTGACGTTCTGCATGGTGCCGGTTCAAGGTTTTATGATGTATTTCCTCCCCTGCTTAAAATGTACAGCAATTTAGACGTGTTAATGAAAGTCAACGGCCTGAACATTATGCATGCGCTGTTAATTCCCGATCCAGCAGACAAGAATAAATGAGTGTTCCACGTGAGAATTAACCCATTGTAAACACTTTGGGTGCTAAATGATTTGCACAATGGAAACGCTGATAGAGTTACTCCATGTGTTAATATAATAAAGAGTTCAAACTCATTTGTCCAGAATTTATGATCAGTTAGTAATACCTGGTACCTATTCTGGCTCAAAACTAATGCCAGTTTCACACCCACATAGATGACTGGAATCAAGCTAATGTCTTTAGCTTCTGCTGTAGCTGTTTTATTTTCTGCAGTGCCAAATCTGTCTATTTGTACAGTTGCCACAGGGCAGAGGAGCATATACTGTACTTGTCATATTGTACTTCGTGATTGTACCAAGTCTTAGAAACATCATAACTGTTGAGGTCCAATATATATTTTCTGAAGGGTTGAGCTGAGAAGTAGTTTCGTCTTTGTGAGGTGCCAGGGCATGTTATCAGTCATCTGAAGTGTTTGGAGTCGTTTTTAAGCTTTAGAAAAATATTTCAACCATTAAATTCAAATGGAGAACGTCAACAATCCATCTCTTCCATTGTACTGAAATAGGTTATATTCTGAGTTCCTCCTGAACACTGTTGGCCTTGATAAGCCGCTAAAAATGAGCTCCTACACAGACTGTGCGGCTGCTGGTGGACTGACAGTCATTTGAGACCCTCCACAGGGGTCTCTCCGGGCCTCGGAGAGTGAGACGGTACACCCTGTAATGGCACTTTGGGCCGCAGGTGGGTTCAAGTGCGGTGAACAGAGCGGCTACTGTCTGGCCTCATCTCCAGCTGCTGCCGATTCTGTTCCAGCCGACTCTGGGCCAGAGATGGAACTGCTCTCAGCTTTGCTCCGATCCCCTTGAACACCACTCCCTCTCAGGCATGTCTAGGTGCAGACTTGCTGTCCTTTCATGCAAGACGATTTCAAATGATGCACAGAGTACTGAGCTGTGTAGCAACTGCAGTGGGCACAGTGGTAGACCTGCTAATTAACTAGGGATTCAGATGAAAGCAGAATAAAACCTTACTGCAGTAACTCAAACCAAACTTAACTGGCAACTGCAGTAACTTACCTACCTCAGGAGGTAATAAACAGACTGACTCCTCGTAATATAATCTCATATCGGATTCACAATTAGCCCTTCTTTTATGGAAAATATACGTTTACAGATGCAGTCGCGTTTTATTTTAGGACATTATCAGCTGCTTTGGTGATGCCATTCATAGTGAAATAATAGGAAAGGACATAAATTTGATGTTATATGCTGTATCGAACAGTTGCTGGTCTAATAAATATACAAATAAATCCTTAGCAGGATGTGCCTGTGCATAAAAACTACAAAGTGTAATGGAAAATCAATTGTTCATTACCCTGTTAATGGACAGGAAAGAGGATAAGATCACTGATGGGGGAAAACCTGTTTGTTTTCTCTCTTTTGTCCCTCATCTCAGACTATGAATAGTTTGGTTTTTTTTTGTTGTTGTTGTTTGTTTTTGACATATACGTAGGACAATTTACACCACACCCCACTCACTCATGGGAAAGAGTGAAAATGAAAAGAATTTACACAAAACCATACATTCCCCAAATGTTCCCAATCCTGGCAGTCCGGACACATGTCTCTGTGAACAATGCATGTAATTATGCTGCGACCAACATTAAACAGCTTGAATCAGCTGATTGACCATGATTAGTGGGCAGCAAGTACAGGAATAATAGCATTTGTGCATGTGACTCCGGCATAATTCAGGCATCGTCATGCTTTTGTAATTATTTTTTGCACAGTAACACTCTAGAATGTCATCTTCGGGTCTGACTCTAAAATGCTTTCGTTTCCCCTGGAATGCACAATAATCTTGTCCTCTGTTAAACCAATCTCTAAAAGTCACCCTGTCATCCCATCGGGATGTCACTCGTTCCATCTTTGGGCCTTTTCAGACTTCACATCGGAGTCGCCCGTCCAGGCATCACCCTCCAGCTCTTTCCTCATTGGAGAAAGTGGGAATTTCATCTAGCGTAGAGTTTTTCCTGGAAATATTCAGTCAAGGTCAGATACAGATGAGATGGATAAGAGGTCCTTAAGTGGAATTTGTTCTTATACCTCAGTGTGGCTTTGTGCTGAAAGCACCAAAATAAAATTAGCATAGAGCGAAGGTAACCCTGCCTGTGCCTTCTTCAGTCATCCTCCGTACTCCAGAACTCCATTTTATGAAATGTCTCCCCAGTACGATGTCATCAGCCATACTAGGATTCATGTTCCGTTCAGCATATCTTTTACAGTTCAGTACGAGTCAATATGAAAACATTATGCTAATCTTGGCTGTGAGTTGGTTACCGCTAAATGCTTGTTATACTTGTCCCAATAAATTACACCAACACTGGAGAGAGTTGCTAAGACTAAGACTGTTGGCTGTTATACTGTTACCAACTACACCCTCTCCAGTGTTGGTGTAAGACTAAGACTGTCTGTCGGCTGTTATACTGTTACCAACTACACCCTGTCCAGTGTTGGTGTAAGACTAAGACTGTCTGTCGGCTGTTATACTGTTACCAACTACACCCTGTCCAGTGTTGGTGTAAGACTAAGACTGTCTGTCGGCTGTTATACCGAACTCAGATATGTTGCTGGAAACACATACAAAGTGCTATTTCATTTGATATGAAATGTGTGTACCACCAGAGAAAAGCAGAAACACCCTCAGAAAGTTAATCTCTGTGTGGCATTAATGGTTCTTTCACCAGGAAATTTACACTAGGCTAAAAAATAATTATGGTTATAGGCGTGTTTATCTCTACAGATTTGTGAATCAGTAGTAGAGAACAAAGGATTTAGTTAGAATTTAGTTTATTATGATTGTTATAATGTTATATTCCAGAGATGGAGGTGAATTAAGTTTCCTCATATTTCTACAAATGCAACCTAATTTTTCCCCACGGGCAGATGAGGGGATTGAGTTACTCCTCCTTGTTTACAGTGGTAAATGGTGACGAAACATTTTAACAAAATTGTTGTAATGAACGAAAGAACGTTTAGCTGATTTTTACTAAATGCGCTCCTTTTGCTGTCACTTGTGTTCCCACAGGTAACAGGTAGGATGGTGGCCGGGGAGGCGAGTGGACACAGCTACCTGGTAGCCTGCTGGCAGCCCATCCTGATCCTTATGCTGGGCACGGTGCTGTCAGGCTCTGCCACGGGCTGCCCATCCCGCTGCGAATGCAGTGCCCAGGAGCGCTCAGTGGTGTGCCATCGCAAGAAGCTGATGTCCGTTCCCGAGGGCATCCCATCTGAAACTCGACTGTTGGACCTCAGCAAGAATCGCATCAAGACCATCAACCCTGAGGAATTTGCCAGCTTCCCGCTGCTGGAGGAGCTGGAGCTGAACGAGAACACCATCTCGGCAATAGAGCCCGGCGCCTTTAATAATCTGTACAGCTTGCGGACGTTGGGCCTGCGCAGCAACAAGCTGAAGCTCATCCCGCTTGGGGTCTTCACTGGGCTCAGCAATCTCACCCATCTGGATATCAGCGAGAATAAGATTGTCATTCTGCTGGACTACATGTTCCAGGACCTGTACAACCTGAGGTCCCTGGAGGTGGGTGATAACGACCTGGTCTTCATCTCTCACCGAGCTTTCCATGGCCTCAACAGCCTGGAGCATCTGACGCTGGAGAAGTGTAACTTGACCTCTGTGCCCACTGAGGCATTTACCCACCTCCACAGCCTGATTTCTCTCAAGATGAGGCACCTCAACATCAACATCATCAGGGACTACTCCTACAAGCGACTCTACCGGCTGAAGCTTCTGGAGATAGCCAGTTGGCCCTTTCTGGACACCATGACATCCAACTGCCTGTATGGACTCAACCTCACCTCCTTGACCATTACTCATGGAAATCTGACTACCATTCCCTATGTGGCTCTCCGGCACCTTGTTTATCTGCGCTTTCTGAATCTGTCCTACAACCCTATTCAAACTATAGAGGGGAACAAACTACATGAGTTGCTGAGGCTCCAGGAGTTTCACCTAGTGGGTGGCAGGTTAGCTACCATCGAGCCCTACTCATTCCGGGGTCTCAACTACCTTAGAATCCTCAATGTGTCCAGCAACTACCTGACTACCTTAGAGGAGTCAGTGTTTCACTCCGTAGGCAACTTGGAAACCTTGGCCTTGTACGACAACCCCCTGGCCTGTGACTGTCGCCTCCTGTGGGTTTTTCGTCGCCGCTGGAGACTCAACTTTAACCGGCAGCAGCCAACGTGCGCCTCGCCGGAATTTGTCCAGGGCAAAGAGTTCAAGGACTTCCCTGACGTCCTCCAGCCCAACTACTTCACCTGCCGTAAATCAAGGATCCGGGACCGCAAAGCCCAGCAGAAATTTGTGGATGAAGGGACTACTGTTCATTTTGTCTGTCAGGCGGACGGTGACCCAGCACCTGTCATTATGTGGCTGTCTCCGCGGAAGCAATTCATAACCACTAAAACCATTGGGCGGCTGACCGTGTTCCCCGATGGGACCCTTGAGGTTCGGTATGCCCAGATCCAAGATAACGGCACGTACGTGTGCATCGCGAGCAATGCCGGGGGCAATGACACCGTGCTGGCTCACCTGCATGTGCACAGCTACTCCCCCGACTGGCCCCACCAGCCCAACAAGACGTTTGCTTTCATCTCCAACCAGCCAAACGACAGCAGTGCCAATGGGACAAGGCCCACGGTCCCCTTTCCCTTCGACATCAAAACCCTGATCATTGCAACCACCATGGGTTTCATTTCTTTCCTGGGTGTCGTGCTCTTCTGCCTGGTGCTCCTCTTCCTTTGGAGCCGTGGTAAGGGTAACACCAAGCACAACATTGAGATAGAGTACGTGCCCCGCAAGTCGGACGCCGGTATGAGCAACACTGTCACAGACGCCCCGCGGAAGTTCAACATGAAGATGATATGATGGACCTTCAAGAGTGGGTCATCAGTATCACCAGAAAGTAATAAATAAAGCAAAGAATAAAGGAACCCACAACACAAAAAAAGAAAAGGAAAATTGTGAATTCCCCCAATCCTGCCGGATTCTGGAACGCTGTCACCGAATGTCACAACCGTTACTGAGCTGGGGGTGGGTACCCAAAGCTTTCATTACAATGTGTGTTGTATCCAAGGGGAAAAAATGACAACACAGCAGATACTTCAGCTCGATGGTACCTTCTGCTGGGCCTGCAGGGGCCACATCTTTGAAAGCAGACTCTGCAAGGGACTGTCCCTCCTGTGGATTTTTACCGGGGAAAAAAAAAAAAGATTTAAAAGAAAAAAAACAAAATTAACCATTCTAAATGTGCGTATCATCAGCCGGAATGTGAAAGGCAGATCATCTTCCATCCTGTCTTTTGCCTTTTTTGATTTTCTTTTTATAATATCTGAAAGCCTATACATGCTGTATGGTTTAATGAAACACTGTACATATCCAATTCATGGGTTGATGAGCACATTATTATGGGTTCTGATGTTACATGCTAATGTCACTAGCATGTTTTTACTGCTTTATATACAGTGGAAAGTCCAGAATTTCACACTCTGCAGTAACAGAAAATATGGTATGAAAATAGTTCAGTGCATTAATTCATTATAAGATTTGACAATCACATCACCACTATGGTTTGTTTTGTGACATTAATTGTTTAAAAAAGGCCATCTATACATTTTGACTTGATCTGTTTCCCACCAAAGTGATTGTTCTGATTGTCTTAAAAACCTTGCCAGTTAAACACTCAGTCGGTAGTCTGAGTGAATTGGCATTCAATCGTGATGTTGTTATCTGAGTGCAGATCTTCTATCATATTGTGTAACTCGAACCACTTAATTAACTGCTTGTTGTATAGTGTCTGCCCTAGTGGACAACAGCTGTGTATGCGGGAGATTTGCCTGACCCTTCCTCGCTTCTCTTCATTACATCACCTTGATATTATGCAGCAGGGACAGTGGGACTTACATCCTGGATGCTGAGGTCATGCAATAACAAGCTGAGTACGACATACAGGCAAGTCTGTAGTCTTTGGTCAGCGTCAGCAGCCGTGCATCTGTTTCTACGAAGAACCCCTAAAGAACCAGGTTCATACCATCGAGCAAGTTCTCAAAAACAAATACAGGGTCCATCAGCGATATCCATCGACAACCGGAAAAATGGGAAGAATTGTCAGAAGATTAGTCAGAGTACAATGTAACGTACACTGGTACATGTTACACCATTGCCAAAAAATGTAATGCATATGATAAAAACCATGAAGTCCACTTCTTATTCAAAGAATACCTCAAATATCCTGTAATTGCCAACAGACTTTTTTTTTTTCTTTTTCTAATAGTTCCTGTAACTAATCTTGTTAGGTACCAAATCAAAACATTCGCTGATTTTCTGATATTTACAAAACTACAATATGTCTATCACACCTTCTGTTCCTTTACAATTTAACTTTTACACTAAACGTAATGTGTTCATCAACCCTTAACACTCCCCATACTGTTACTAGCAAAAGTGCAGGTTTGAAAGACAAACTAGTAGAATGAACTTTTTAAAAAATATATATATAAATTATTCCCTACATAAAAAAGCCCTGAAGGTTAGTAGGCTTTTGTTTCGTTACCGCGGCGTCAGGCTAAGAGGCGGTCTGCACTCTCACAAACATTCGCAGCCACGTGAAACAAAGCCGGTGCCTTTTCCGGCACACTCCGTGGACGGCTGGGGTCTTCGGGATGAAGGCAGTGGGCTGGGTTATTCACAATGGGTGACATTAAACCCCTTTGGGGAGCAAATGGGTTGGAAGCAGGGCCAAAAATGGAAGCGGGGAGCGTCACAGCTGGTCTCACCCTCAGCAGGCGTGTTATTTTGTCCCAGAACCATTGGATATGACTTATTCTGCTCTGTACTGATTAAAAATATTCCTGTTACATGTGTGGTTACTGTCCCCCAATCCTGCTGATTCTGAGACTGATTGAAGTGTTTTTTTTTCTTTTTTTAAATGTTAACCCAGGACTATGCTAAATGTGTAGTCCGAACAAAATTTTTATTAAAACATATTTCAAAAGCAACAGCAAAAATACATCTGGATTGTTCTGTGGAATTAAGGTAATATGCAGATTTTTTCCCCTTAAGCAACATGATTTTATAGATGTTAAAATGTGATAGAATATGATACATTGTATGAAACAATTCATGGAGTTTCTTTTTCTTAACAGAAGACTCCATAGTCGCATCCTGTTTGTGAGTGGGAAGGTGTGTAATTAGTACTGATTGACATTTATGTGGGTCAGAGTTTAGTTATTTCCAGTCATCATTACTGCCTCAGACAAAATAATTTTGCTCTCCTCAAACCTCATAAAAATCATAGAAACAAAAGAATCTCCCCCTGGTCTATAATGAAGGTGCTTTGAGTATCAGCTCTAAATGGAAATTGGGCTGCTGATAGGTCACCAGGAAGCATGCTAAACACTGCCATGTCCTCCCATGTGGCATGTGTGTTATATTCCATTCGCCGGCCAGGGCTCTGGGGGCTGAAGCACGGCTGATGTTCCTACTCCAGAAATGGAAAACTTGGGATCCCAGGATGTGCTCAGGGCAATATCTTCTGAGAGGGTGGCGACTAAATAACATCCCCCTTCAAATACCGTAAATGGGCATTCACCTACTGTATATAAGCAGTTGGAAAATGGATAGATGGATGGATAGATGGGAGTTGACTATTTTGTGACATTTACCAAAGCTGCCCCCCCCCCCCCCCCAACATAATTCATATATTGTTAACAAATCAAAATTTAAACCCACTGGAGTTGACACTTATGTCAATGTTTTACCAAATACGTGTCCAGCGCCCAATCACAGTCACTCCTCCAGCCAGCGGAATGATGTCACCATCGGAGCAGAAAAACACACACCCAAGTTCACAGCTTAATGAGTAAAAACAAGCCAGAGCAGCTTATGACTCTCCATCTTCGTTTGAATTAATAATGATGCAGGCTAATATTATTGTCCTGTTCAGGCACTCAGCTTGTGTTCCTGTTTTCGTCTTAATGTGTGCGATGAGTGAGAAACAGTTTAGGAATAATCAGTCTCCTAACCATCAGCATAAATTAAGGAGGATTTCCTAAGAGATCCCTCAACACACCAAACTAGCAGCACTAAGAATAGGAAAATGTTTTCTTTTTGTAAATGGATACTTATTAAATAGTTAATGTATTATTTTAAAATATAAAATGCAAGGCGGTATGTAACTTGACAGAAATCACCTTATTTCACTGAATGACATTGATGCCCTTGTTTAATAGTTTCTATACCATTTTCTGCTATGATATATTTGGCATATTACATGTGGTGAGCGATGACAGCAGGTCCCAGAATCAAAAGCAGCTACATTTTATCTGTACACTTGAAAGTGGACCAGCTGAGATGAAGGGGAAGGGGACTCCGTGGGATCTCTGCCGCTTCCTTCGCATGTCGGAGAAGCCATGCTTTTCAAGGTTGGAATGACGAGGTGGAATCTGAAACTCCAGCTCACTCCAGCACCAGAGAGCCAAATACATCCCACATCCACGCCACCGCACTTTATTTTTAGGCAGAGAGTTTGCTGTACGGCCTTAGTCTTGAAATGGAGCATGACGACGTGTGAGACACTAGAGAAAAATGGAAGCCATTTTATTACAAAGCCGCATTAGTATATGAAAGCTGTTTCTGAGAACCTTACTAATGATGCATCTCCCCAGATCTATAGGATCCAATCTTAGAGACCCATCATTGTTCTGCAATTTCTGCTTCAGTTCCAACATTCAGTCTTAGCTATGGTTCTGCCACATGTCTACGCTCCCTGAGTAACTACAGTACTATTTTAGTACGATGGTTCTCACCAGAATACTGGTGCTTTTGTCCCAGTAGTCAATTCTGTGACCTACTATTAGGATTCTCCAAAGGCACTTCATCTATGATTCTGTCTTGTCTTGTAGGTCAGGTTCAGATGATGTGTGTGACACATCACTGTCACAGCAAAGCATATTTAAGCCATTTTCTCACATCACTGGAAACATGGAGATCATTTATAACACATGCGCTGCAAATATTCTGGGCTATATTTGTGATTTTCTTAACCGGTAGGTAGAATGAATGATTTTCATCTATTTCTCTGAGTTTCCTCCTACTGTGAAAAGATATACAGTACAGGTGAATTGTGTGTTCTGCATTGCCTAATGTGTATTGAGTGCATTCCCTGCAAGGGACAGGCATCCCATCCAATGTCTTCCCTGGCCACGTACCCTATGCTGCCTGGGAAAGACTCCAGACACCCTCATTGACCTTTAATGGATAAGCACGCACGGATGGATTAATGATGTTTTCTGGTCTATTTTTGTGACGTTTTGGTGGGTAGCATTAAGGATATTACTGGACCAGATTTTCCTACCTCATAAAGAAGTTGACAGAGGTCAGGGCTGTTGGAGTGTTTCTGAAACTCTTTCCCATTAAATCACATTAATGAGTCTCCAAACTCTTCAGCATATGTTCAGTTGAGTTTTGTGATCCATTGCCGGGACTGGCCATCCCCCAGCAACTGCTGAACAGCTGGTGATAGCCCACGCCTGATTTGCATGTTTACATTGTACGGCCCTCGTTGAGCTCTGTGGGGAAGACTTCAGTGAACGGTAAACAAAAGACCCTCAGAACCAAAGCGGGTCCTCATGGAAATCAGGTGCAAGATGATCATTAAAAAATAGCACAATATCATAACTTATGAAAATATTTTAAATGATTCTTTACATTCATAAGATAATAGATAAGTGCCTTAACTCACCATATTTCTCCAAGATGGATGGGAGAATCCATCAAACATACAGAGAGAGCATTCACACGAGTAGCTGCACTCTGTCATTTGGCTAATCTGGGGTTAGCTGCATTTGCCTGCCCAGATTAAATTTACAGGTAAGCTTCAAGCAAAGGCACATACAGTACATAAGTATGTACCTTTTAACATCTACTGATGCCCTTCATTCTAGCATGTTTCTAAGGAATAATACCGGGGGCCAGTTTGGGCTATCAGCTTGGTGATTTAGCTTGTTTATTATTATTATTATTATTATTATTATTATTATTATTATGTTTGTCGCTGAGCAAACAACCAACACACAATGACAAATTGTGCTCCTGTTGAAGAAGAAGCGGTGAAGAATCCTGCAGGTCCTCTCAGCTGGGTCCGTCAGGTGGGAAACATCTGGCGAGCACTTTGAACACATGCAAGCATATTTTTACTGAGCACTTCTGGACAAAAACAGAAAAAGAACTCTCAAGAGATTCATACCCATATACCCATAATTTATAACAGGAGTTCAAATACATTTACTACATCATTTATGCATTTATAATCAGATGCGATTAGAGCATACTAAAATGCATACTGTATACACAAGTCCATTAATATAAATCTTTAATGTTTAAAATATCCTCACCCTTGCCACGTCTGAATAGTCCAGCTCATGTTCATTTCCTGGCACCTGAGACGCCAAACAAACATTTAATGCTATTGAGTTTGGCTTTATTCTGCTGTTTCCACAAACTGGGGCCATTAGGATGGTGAACGTATAGTGTGGAGGATGTTACATCTTCATACGTCCAAGCAACGTATGAGCAAACAGCAGAGTAATATAGTGTATGCACACTAAAAAAAGAGAGTGAGTAAAAACAGGATTTATTAGCATCTGCCTAGCCTATACTGGCCCCCTAAATTACTGACAGCACTACAGTATGTTCCTCTGCATCAGGGCACGTTTCCTGTCCTTCCTAATCCGGCAGCATTCCAGGTATTTCCACACATTCCCGCAGTTTCTATAGTTATACCTCATAAATCTCCCTCATGGGAAACATAAATCTTAATTTAAGAAAAGAAAATAATTAAATTTTACAATAAGATTTAATTAAAGGCATAATTTCTACATAAATTCCTATCCTTGTGACCGTATCTCAGCCAAGAGGATTATTTTCTAATTAACAATAGCGGGCCGTAGAAAATGACAACATACACCACTAACGATAATTATTCTCCCTGATTACCATTACAATAATTTCTTTCGGATGCTGCAAAGAATGCAAGTTAAAACTGGCAGAGCAGCACAGCAGCTGAGCGTTGTTTTAATACGTCATGTTACGTTGAAGGTTAGGGTCACATTGCGGTTAACTCCTAACCATAATGGTCACCTTAACTCTACCTCTATCCCCAATTGTAAACATGCTAACACTTTCTATGAATGTCTAGAAGACTCTATGAACACATTCACAGTACTTTATAATGAACTCATAAAGCAGTTTAAAATGGCTGTGTATTTATGTATAAAAAGGCATAACACATTGTAGCCATTTTATTATGCATTATGAATGCTTTATGTTCATCTATAATGTACTATAGATACCTTCATGATGCAGTACATAGCATCCTCAGTTCTTATACCGACCGTTATAATGCATTATGAAGGTATCTATAGTGCATTAAAGATGAGAACTTCATTGGAGTTTACGAAGTATTATAATTTCTTATGACTGTCAGTAGAAGATGCTGCAATGCTTTATTAATTCTTATACTGACCATAAGGCATTTTGAAGGTGTCTATAATGCATTATAGATGAGAGCTTTATGTAAAGTGCATCCATAAATGTACATCTTACCTTGATTGAAACACTAAACCTAACCCTAATGGCTACCCTGACCCTAATTCTAGCCCACATCCTTCCAACCTTAATTGTTACTAATTATTACTTAATTATTACCCTAATCATAATCCTATCCCTAACCCCAACCTTAATTCTAACCTGAACTGTAGCCTGAATCCCAAGCCTAAATAAAGGAAAGAGGGGTGCACTCCACAGAAAAGCTGTGCATCTCTTCTAACTCTGCTAAGACCCAAAATCGGGGCTGCAT